GAGTGAAGGGATTTGAACACGTGTTTAAGGATTTTGAAGTCGATCCGTTCGATGATGGGGAGCCAGTGGAGCCTGGGCAGAACTGGTGAGATGTGGGTACTGGGTATGGTCCGGCTCAGTATGTGGGCAGCAGAGTTCTGAATGAGCTGGATCTTGTGAATGGTGGAGCTGGGGAGACCGGCGAGGAGTCCGTTTGAGTAATCCAGGCGGGAGGTGACAAACGCATGCACGAGGGTTTCGGCTGCGTTTGGGGTAAGGTACGGTTGGAGGCGGGCAATGTGGTGGAGGTGGAAGAAAGCCGATCTGGTCAGGGACTGGAAGTGGAGGCGGAAGGACAATTGGGGTTGAACTGGATGCCTAGATTGCGCACTGGTTCAGTGAGTCTGAGGGAGAGCCCAGGGAGGTTGAGGAGTTCAGATCTGCAGGAGTGAAGACATTGACGGGAGCCAAGGAGTATGGCTTCCGTCTTGTCCATATTCAGCTGCAGGAAGTTTGCACTCATCCAGGCCCTGATGTCTGCCAGACAAGCTGATAGAACATCGGCAGACCTGGAGTTCGTACTGGAGGAGGCAAGGATTTGTAGATTTGTAGAGGTAGATTTGTGTGTCATCCGTATACATGTGGAAGTTTAACCCATGTCTGCAGATGACATCGCCCAGAGGGAGCATATAAGGAAAAGAAGACGATGGAGGCCTGGGGTAACTCGCAGGTGCCCGGGCGGGGGTGGGAGGAGAAACCATTTGCCAAGATGAAATGGAGACGGTTGGTTAAGTAGGACTCGAACAATGCGAGTGCGGTCCCACTAAGGTGGATAAGGGAGGAGAGGAAGTGGAGGAGGATGGCGTGGTCGACTGTGTCAAAGCAGAGAGATCCAGGAGAACAAGGAGGCAGAGGGAGCCCTGGTCATAGATAGACAGGATGTCATTTGTGACTTTGACAAGCGCTGTATCTGTGCTGTGAGCAGGGCAAAAGTTTCAAACTGCCTTCTAGAGCTAAATGTTTAACATCTATAAGGAAATGTACTTCACTGGTGATAATCACATCACATACAGCATTTCTTAGCTGCAGAATAAAGCTGCATCCGTTCTTCCCCCAATAATGCAATGAAATCCCACATTCAAAAGAACATCTCCATGCTGTACGACTGTCCCACTGAAAAAGTTTAAATGGCATAGGAAGTGGCACTGTTATCTCTAGATGTTTAGGTTGTGGGCTTAACCTGTCATTGGGCTTTTGAGTCTAGCTTCCACTCCGATGCAGCACTAGAGGATGAGAAGTTAAACTGAGGTTCTGTCTGCCTATTTTCAGAAGGAAGTTTAATTGGAAATATCTCCTGGTGTTACAGCTAAAATCCTCCAGATAAATTGGTCATTCACTTCAGAACTGCTTATGAAACCTTGCTGGTGTGAATAAGCGTTGCTTTTTCCTACATTTGATAGTAATTACCTCTGAAATGCTTTGAGACATTTTTACTTGATAAGGTGCTATAAAATTGCAAATTCTTTCTTTACATTTACAATAATTCTTTCCCCAGTAGTTCCTCCTTCAGCCTGGTAGGCTCCAATGCAAATTGGATTACGATTCTGCACCTCAAACACAACTCGGAGTAGATAAAGCAGGCATTAAAAAAGCACTTCTTACTGCATCAGTGTGATATTTTCATTGCAATCACCAGCCATCGTTGTGGTTTGTCTGAGAGAGATTGCCAATTTAGTACCAATTTCCATCAGATTGATCATGGTTTGTGCTCTATGCCCAATGGGACCTGGGTTGAAATTGCCCAAACTCATTTCCACTGGAACCCTAGACAACCCCAAAATAATAATGGCAATCAGCTTTTTGGGGGTGAATTTAGATAAGAGAAAACTCTGCTCTTTATAATAGTCTCCCAGGATAATTGTCATCCACCTGAACAGGCAGGCAGGACCTCAGTGAAAATATCAACTGAAGGATGGTATCTCAGACTCTGCAGTGCTTCACTGATACTACTTCAGACTGTCAGTCTGGATTGTAAGCTCAAATCCTGAAGTGGGGGTTGAACTTGTAATCTTCTCATCCAAAGGTGAAGGTGCTTCCAAGCTGATACAGAATACCACCTCAGACATACTGTATATCTTGAATTCCAGGAACTAACCACAGAAACAGAAAATGTTACCGAAGAGCTGTTGTCAATGCAGGCAATGTAAGGGTTAAGAGGTTTTGTTAACTTCAGCGGTTTAAATCAAGGTCTTGTTGTCAGGACAGAAAACACTACACCTATTGTAGAGGATATTAACATGAATGTATGAAATATTTCAACTTTATACTAACAAGAACTGTCAGACTATGTGGTTGGGCAGTTATAGGGAAAGGTGAAAACTTAAATGATCGAATACTTTTCAGGACACAAATAATTCTATGTTATCGAGGGGAAGGTGTTTGTGGACAGCAATAAAGTGGGACTAAATAAAAGAGATGGGAGGGATGGTTGAATATTTTCTATAGGTATATAGGTTTTTCTTGGTTCCCTTTGAAGATGAGGGAATATCTATTGCAGAAGTTTTCCCCAAGAAAATCGATCGAATGGTCTAAAGGTCACAACCAGTGCCTTGGGACATCATCCGGACATAAAAGCATTATATAAATACAATTTATTGTTGTTTTTCATAGTGTGTGAAAAATTGGGTTTGGTGGCTCAACAACCTTTTCACATACCATACTTTCTTAACTGTCAGCCTAGCTCTCCCACTTCTGGGGCAAAAGGTTGTCAAGCCCCACTGTCAGGTCTTTGAGCTCATTGTCTTGGCTGACAATCCAGTGCAGTGTTGGGGGAGTGCAGGGTGAGCCATTTAGCTGAGGTTCAGGTGGATGTTAAAAATCTTTTAATAATCCTTACATTTAATATAGTGCCTTTCACATCAGGAGGACGTCCCAAAACGCTTCACAGTGTGCAACCGCAACATTATTGACAGTATTGGAAAAGAAGGAGTTTCCCTCCGTGTCCTGTACAAATAGGTCATCCATTTCAGGGCAGCTTGTTAGACCATGCAATGTGCAAATTTGCCATCAAGTATATAATTAGTACATTTTACAGCAATTACCTGTGAAGCTCTTCAAGATATTTCAATGATATAGGTCCCATATCAAACACAATGTTTTTTAAATGAGCAGTATTCTTAGAAATAAGTATAGAAGGAGTTAAAAATAATGATTTTTTTAAGTCCCCTCCTTAAACTCCATCGATTATTCCCATATCTGTCTTAACAAGAATGATTTATAGTTTTGGAGGGTGAAATTAGACGTGCATTTCAGATTCTCTTTTTCTAAAGCCTGATGTTACATGTCGCACAATTTTGTCGCTCCACCCACAAAATGTCCGAAATATTATAAACATTCCTGAAGCTGAACCTTGGCAGCCAATTGAGCCTTGTGTCCTTTGAGCAATGCTTAGTGGCCATGCTGAGGTAAACAGCAAATTCTGCATCAAATTTGTGTAAATTAAAATACCATTTCTGCTTTACATCAGACATTATATAATAAGCCGAGGCTGGATTGAGTTCTAATAGCTTTCCACTGCTGAGGCAATTATATTGTGTGACAACAGAGTGGGTAGACAAGAACGTACACCAAAGGTCTTCAGAGCTATGGTGAAAAGACTCTGACTGTGGTAACTGTAAAAGACAATTATGGTAGAATTATGTGGTTCCTGTAAACTATAATGTTGCAATTATGCGAATTGGATGACAACTCACAACTTGGCGCAATTCCACCCAACCCTTTTTTTTAACATTCCTTGCTACATTGAATGCCTGCTGATTAACCATTTGAGGCCACCTTATCGGGAAACCATGAGAAAATTAGGAAAAAGACAAACTGCTCTCTGCTTTCGTCACCTTTTGTTTCCTACTTAGTCAGTAATAATAATAATTCTTGAATTTGATATAGTATCTTATCACATTGTTAAGACATCTCCAAGCGCCTTGGGACGTCCTCCCAACGTGAAAGGCGCTATACAAATGAAATTTTTTCTGTTGTTGTTATCTCAAAGCACTTTATAGAATACATTATAAAGTGGATTGACTGTTTATTTTGTGGATGAGAGACAAGATTGTTTCAGTGATTTCTAGTGTCAGTTGGGCTCAGGTTGGTAGAGGTTGGGGATTTGAGCCTCATAACAAGATTTGAACTCATAATCCAGGCTAGCAGTCCAATGCAGTGGTGAGGGAGTGCCATGTTGTTAGATATTCCTTCCTTTGTATGGGACATTAAACCAAGGTTAAGGTGAAAATTAAAGTCCTATGGCTCTATATCAAAGATCAGGGCGTTTCTTGCTGTTGTGATCTGTATTCCTTCCTCATTCAAAAAAATGATTTGCATTATTCATCATATTGTTATTTATAGGATATTCCTATCACAGATTAGCTGCCATGTTTGCTATCTCAACAGTTACTTCACTTCAAAGTAACTCATTGTGTGAAGTTTGATTTGTGAAATAAAATAACTAAGGATGATCTAGCCATCATATGACATCCAGACACCCATAAGCACAGACACACACACACACACACACAAACACACACCACATACACACAAACACATAAATGGACACACTTGCCAGCAGGGGTCACTAGAAATAGCGCATTGGTTGATTTTTATCATCTCGATTCTCTAGCTCCTCAGAGCCATCCTGTTTCCTTGGTGACACCATGTTCTAGGCACTTTCACTTGTGCACTTAAGAGCTATGGCTCTTTCACTTCCAATATAAAAAAGCTCAATTATTCACCTTCCCCGAGGAATCCTCTACTGCTTGTTGTGTGCCCTGAGCTGGCATGTTGCCTGCTTGATACACACTGCCTGCAACAGGCAGAAAAGTGACCATTGTTTTCCCACACATGGGCAAGGTCAGCTTTGTGGTGATATGCCAACACCAGGGATACGTTCTAATTGTACCAGACACTGCAACTGATTATAGCATTTGCAGAAGACAACCTCTCTTGTTGCTCTTTACTTTGCTGACTGCATTTGCAGAGACGTGCAATGATAACAACTTGCATTTATATAGCCCCATTCACATAGTATAACGTCTCAAAGCATTTTACAGAGGCGGTGCTGGATACTCAGCAGGGAGGATGGAGGAGGAGGAGGGAATTGACTGGTCAATGATTGAAGAGGTAAGTTTTCGGGAAGCTTTTAGAAAAGGCAGATAGAGAGGAATGAGGAAGAGGTATTTAATTATGGAGATCCAGAGAGTAATAAACAGAATACTGAACAAAGAGAAATTAGTTATGGACAATCAGCAGTGATAACCAAACTGTGATGATTAACGGAGATAGTAATACTGGAACATAAATACTGTGAATGAGATGTACCCATCTCATTCATAGTATTTATCCTTCAGTGTTACTGAGAAAAGGCAAGGGAAAGGGAAGAAGACATTTAAAAAAGTTGCTGATGATTATTGAACTGACACCAACGTAAACTTAAATCACTTCCCTTTTTTCTGTTCCCCCAGCCCCATTGAAACACTGGTGAAATCAGCTGCTGAAATGAAGATCATGTGTGGAAAAGAAAAGCCTTATATTTAGGTGTTATTGGAAAATTACATTTTGAAGAACACAGACAACAACCTGTACTTATACAGCGCCTTTCACACAGTTAAACATCTTCGATTGCTATTCAGAGATGGAGTGGGAACCCAACAGGGTGGGATTGGGGAATGGGGAGATAAGATGGACACAAATTACACACTGGCACCAGTGAAGATTAACAAAAAACTCTTTGTGAGCTTTGGCTTTCCAAGAACTCACCTGAGGTAAAATTGTTTAATTGTTTCTTGTTTGTTTGGTTAGTTAACTGAGCTGTACATTATGTTTATCACATTGACGTCACTACAATTGACTCAAAGGGTGCACATAGGGCTTACATTCCCATGGGCCAAACATGTTCAAACTCAATTAGTCAAAGAATACTGTCCGGTTTCTTTCAACTTCTCCCTTTGCATGTTCTATCCAGACCATGGAGTGTTGTGCTTCCTACATTACTTCCTCCATTGAGTCCTGCAGCTCAGAACACATGCCTTACAAGTGAGAGACCTGGGTTAAATCGGCAGGGCAAAACCTTAGGTAAGTTTCCTTACTCCACATGCCTGATAATAATCCTTCAAAAACAAAATAAATAAACAAACACAGACACACACACACACATACATACAAACATACATACATACATAATGAATTAGTTACTTCAATCCACAACTGTTTGTGGGATACTGCTGTGCGTAATTGGCTGCTGCATTTCGCCCACACAATACACAGTCACTTCTCTTTACAGTATATTCCGTGAAGCGCTTTGCGACGTCTAGAAGACGTGATAAGCACAATATCAAATGCACAGATTATTTTTTATTATTGCATGCTGAATACCTTGCATTTATCCAGGACACATTCTGTGAAGTTCTGCCCGTAAGATTTTGGCTGCCTCCTTTGATTCCAGAAAATATCCTAACGTGATGATATCTGCAAACTTAACCCATCTCATTCACAATATTTATCCTCCAGTGTTTCTGAGAAAGGCAGGGGGAAGCAGAGAAGAAATTAAACAAAGGATGCTGATGATTGATTTCCAAGTAGACCACTGAACTGACACCACCATTGGAAAACAAATGCACTCGAGGGGAAATAATTCCCCTTTCTATCCCGGTCCCTGACCAGGACAGCAACAACAACAACAACTTGAATTTATATAGTGCCTCCAGGCGAGACGGCGTCTCAGAGCGCTTCACAGTAATGGATCCCGGGGCCAAACCAGGGGGAGGGGAGGAAGGTGACCAAAGGCACGATCGAAAAGAAAGGTTTTCAGCTGAGACCCGAAAATAAGAAGAGACGGAGCGAGGCGAAGGGAGTGAGGAAGGAAATTCCAGAGCCTCGGGGCATAGGGGCTGAAGTTTGGTGTGGGTGAGAATGCGGGTGGTAGAGTTTCGTATAATCTGGATTTTATGGATGGTAGTGGAGGGGAGGCCGGCGAGGAGGTACTTGCGTCGTCCAGCAGGGAGATGACAAAGGCATGGACCAGGGTTTCAGCGGCTTTCGGAGAGAGGTATTGGCAGAGATGGGCAATGCGTCAGAGGTGGAAGAAAGCGGTGCTGGTGAGGGACCGGATGTGGGGGAGGAAGGACAATTGGGGTTGCGTACAGGTTCGGAGAGATTCAGGTAGGTGGAGGAAGTGAGAACCATGAGATTTTAGACGTTGATGAGAGCCAAAGAGTATGACTTGTCTTGTCAACGTTTAGCAGAAGGAAATTTGCGCTCATCCAGCCCCTGAGATCTGACAGGCAGCCTGACAGAACAGGGGACTGGGGATCGCAAAGAGAGGTGGAAAAATAGAGTTGGGTGTCGTCCCCGTACATGTGGAAGTGTACCCCATGTCTGCGGATGACATCCCCAAGAGGGAGTATGTAGATCAGAAAGAGGAGGGGGCCAAGGATGGATTCCTGGGGTACCCCACAGGTGACCGGGTGAGAGCGGGAGGAGAAGCCGTTTGTGCAGATGTACTGCTGGCGGTTTGTGAAATAGGACTCGAACCAGGCGAGTGTGGTCCCACTGAGGTGGATGACGGAAGAAAGGTGGTGGAGGAGGATGGCGTGATCGACTGCGTTGAACGCGGTGGAGAGGTCCAGGAGGACAAGGAGGCAGAGGAAGCCCTGGTCACAGATAGAGAGGATGTAGTTTGTGACTTTCACAAGCGCAGACTCTATACTGTGGGCAGGACGGAAACTGGACTGGAGAAGTTCGAAGAGGGAATGGGAGGAGAGGTGTGCGCGGAGTTGATTTGCAACAACACGTTCTAGGACCTTTGCGAGGAAGGGCAGGTTAAAAATAGGGCGGTAGTGGCTGGGGTTTGAGGAATCTAGGGAAGGTTTCTTGAGGAGGGGGTTGATGACAGCAGTTTTGAGGGGGGCAGGGACTGATCTGGAGGAGAGGGACTGCTTGATGACATCAGCTAGTAGTGGGCAGAGGAGGGGGAGCTGGGTGACCAGCAAGTTAGTGGAGAGGAGGTCGAGGCAGCAGGTGGTGGGTTTCATGGAGGTGATGGTGGGTGAGAGGGAGGCGGGAGAGATGGGGAGGAAGGAATGTAGGATGGGGGTCGTGATAGGAGTTGATGATGAGGAGGGTGAGGGGGACGGAGAGCGGGTGGTGATGGGTGACAAGAGGCAGGTGGATGAGGCTACCTGGCAGATGTTGTGTATTTTAGATGAAAAGAAGTCCATGACCTCCTTGCACTTGGCATTGGTTATAAAGATTGAGGAGACCTGAGGAGGGGCACGGAGGAGGTAGTGGGTGGTGGAAAAAATGATTTTAGGATTGTTTTTAGACTACAAGTTGATGTTGGAGTAGAAGGCCGTTTTTGCGCGTATCAAAGAACGGCGGTAGCTGTGGAGATGCTCGAGCTACAGTTGGCGGTGGACTGTTAGACCAGTTTTCCGCCATCTGCGCTTGAGGAGCCGGGTTTGGGTTTTTAGGCAGCGGAGATGGTTGTTGTACCAGGGGGATTGGGTGGGTTTGGATTTCAGGGGGACAAGAGAGTTGAAGGTGGAGGAAAGGCGATCATGGAGCAGCTGAACGGCTGCTTCGGGATCTCCGCTGGTGGAAAGCCAGAGGGATAGGATATTTGATGATATGCGAGCCTTTGTGAGGATCTCAGGGGGTAGCCTTTTCCATGGGTGGTAGAGAATGGTTGATGGCTTGTTGGAGGAGAGAGGGAGGTGAGAGGAGAAGGAGATGAGGATATGGTCCGAGATGAGCTTGTCTACTATGCTAAGGTCGGAAATGTCAAGGCCATGGGTGATAACGCAGTCAAGGGCATGTCCACGGTTGTGGGTTGGTGAATTTATGTGAAGGGTGAGGTTTAGGGAGGAGAGGAGGGCAGTGAAGTCGGCAGAAGTGGTGCAAGGGGAGTTTAGGTGAAGGTTGAAATCGTCCATTATGAGCAGGCGCTCGGAGCAGAGGGACAGAGAAGAGAGGAGAATAGAGATGTCTGTGTGGAAGGAGCCAGGGGGCTTAGGGGGGTGGTAAACCAGGAGGATTTTCAATTGGAGAAAGGGATATAATAATAATAATAATCCTTGCATTTGATATAGCGCTTTTCACGTCGGGAGGACGTCCCAAAGCGCTTCACAGAGCACACTGTAAAGTGAATTGACTGTATATTTGTGGGCGAACGCGGCAGCCAACTGGGCACAGCAATGTCCCACAAACAGTCGTAGATTGAAAATGACCAATTTAATTATTGGTTTTGGTTTTTGGAGGGATTATTATTAGGGGTGTGGAGTAAGGAAACTTGCCCAAGGTTTCGCCTGCCTGGAATTGAACTCAGGTCTCTCGCTTGCAAAGCGAGTGCTCTAACCACTGAGCTACAGGACTCCACCCACTGAGCTACAGGACTCCACAAGGAAGAAAGAGGGTGAGGTGCTCGAAGGAGGGAAAGCAGCCAAAGGAGTAGGGGTTAAGACCAAGGGAAGCTTTGGAGATGAGAGCCACCCCACCGCCATGTTGGTTTGGACAGGGGGTGTGGTGGAATGTGTAGCCTGGAAGGGAGGCTTCAACTAGGGGTTGGGGTCATTGGGGAGAGCCAGGTTTCGGTGAGCCCAAGAATGTCAAGGTGCTCGTCCAGGATGAGGTCATGGTGGTGAGGGATTTGTTTGAGAGGGAACGGATATTTTGGAGGGAAATGCGGGTGGGTTTGCTGGAGGGAGGGGAGGAAGGAGAGAGTGATGCAGAGAGGATTTTAGGGTGTGCAGGAGAGATGGTTGTGGAGAGTGGTAGGAGTGGAGAGTTAGGGAGGGTACGTATGAGGGAGGAGGAAGTTGGGTTTGCCTTAAGGAGGTGGTTTGAGTGGAGGGAGTGAATGATTGAACACTTGAGGTTGCTGCTCTGGGACAGCCAGTGCCAGGAGCCACGATGGGCCCGGTGGAGGATGCCCAGGCTGGAGCAGAGGGAATTGGTGATGGGATCAAGGAGAGAGAGAAAGCCGGGAGGACGGTGGGAGAGAAGGACAGAGGAGGAGTAGCAAATAGAGTGGGGGGGTGGGAGGAGAGACATTTAGACTGGAGGGGGAGGCTCTGCTTTCCTCCATCTCTGCTACGTCACCTGCCTCCAACCATACCTGGCTGAAACTCTTATCCATATATTTGTCATCTCCCACCTTGATATTTCCAATGCCCTCCTAGCTGGTCTCCCCAACTACATCACTCACAAAATCCAATTAATCCAAAACTCCGCAGCCCATATCCTCACCCGTACCAAACTCTGCAACCATTTCACCCCAGTCCTTGCCTATTGTAAAATGGACCATTTTCAAGATCTTCACTCTCACCTACAAATCATTTCATGCCCCAACAGTTCCCTACCTTCCTGGTCTGCTTACTCCCCATTCCTCTGCCGCTCCCTTTGCTCAGCTGGCTCCAACCTTCTGAAAGTCCCTCGTCCCCTCCACTCCACCATTGGCAGCTGTTCTTTCAGCCACTATGCCCGAAACTATTATTTCTCCACCTCAATTCCTTCACCTTGCCCCTCTTTATACATCATCAGATTGCACCTGGAGACCTTACTCTTCGACTGTGCCTATGATCATCTCCCCTTTTCCCCATCTCAACATCAAGTTCCACCAATGCTTAGTGTTCCGACCTACGCTCTCCCAAGTGAAGGGTGCTATATAAATGCAAGTTGTTCTTGTTGTTGTACAATTGACCTATGACAGTCCCTTTTCTCTCCCCTCTCCCCTCAGCCCCACTGGAACACATGTGCAGTCAGCTGCTGAAATTAAGATTATGTATGGAAAAGAAAAGCCTTATATAGGAGTTTGGGGAAATTACATTTTAAAGAACACAAACATCTACTTGTACTTATACTGCACCTTTCACATAGTTAAACATCTCAGAGTGCTGTACAGAGATGGAGTGGGAGCCGGAGTAGGGTGGGATTGGGGGAGGGGGAGATAAGAGGGACACTAATTACACACTAGCAAGTACCAGTGAAGGTCAGTAAAAAATACTTTGTGAACTTTGTCTTTCCAAGAACTCTCCGGAGGTAAAATTGTTGAACAATT